ATACATTTTATACAATTAAATTAAATATAATAATTAATAATTTTTATTATATAATTGATTTTAATTTTAAATTGATTAATAACACAAATAAATTGTTATGATTGGATCTCAAATAAAATAGGTATGCACTGTTCATGAGCTAAATATGCATTTCGTAAGAACTAAATATGTATCATGAATTAAGTAAATATGCATAATAAATTAATTATATAAATATTATTATATATTTAATTTAAATATAACAAGTATGCATTTCGTATTAACTAAATATGCATCATAATTACCTAAATATTCATAATAAATTAACTAAATATGCATCATAAATTACCTATATAAAATGTACATTTTTATTGCATATTTTTCGTTGCATATTTAGTTCATTCATATGATGCATATTTAGTTCATAACAGATACATATTTAGTTCATAACAGGTGCATACTTAGTTGATATCATTGGTGCATATTTAGTTCATAAGGACTGCATGTGCAATTCATATCCCATGCATATTTAGTTCATATGAATGCATGGTACTGGATGCATATTTACTTCATACATATGATGCATACTAGGGGTCAACGGGCCAACGCCGGAAGTCAACGGTCAACGCCGGAAGTCAACGGTCAACGTCGAAAGTCAACGATTTTTCGCTGGAAGTCAACGGTCAACGCCGGAAGTCAACGGTCAACGCCGGAGTCAACTAATATTTATTTTATTATTTAATTAATATATTTTAAGGAGTGGACTCATTGGATCCTCCCCTATATATATATAATAAAAATAATCATTTACTAAAAGTAACAAAAAAAAAAATCAGAAAATATTAATTACATTCATTATTAAAAAGCTATATTCAAATTTGATTTTTTTTTTAATCTAACATTGTCTGGTTTCGTGGGTTTTTTTTCAAAAATTAAATTTCAAAATCTACCATTAAATTTCTAATACAAGTCTAACGCTCGCCCGACCGAGAACCGCAGCAAACACGACTTCCTCCATCGGTCGAACGCTGAACCTGCACAAAAACTCTCACACCGGAGGTGTTTTCCGGTGAAGAGCCTCCAACGCTCAAGTCAGATCTTGAGAGATAAAGGTGTATATGAAAATCTCAGAAAAATTAGAAGTTACCTAAAGCGATGATCCTCATCCCTATTTATAGGGACGAGTTACCTGTTGGCCACGCGCGACTAGGCGAGTCTCGTCATTCATCCTCTGCTCGTCCGTACGGTCGCGCGTCTCCACTTTCCCTGGTGACAGAAAACGCGTCACCCGCGCCAGAGAATGTCAGAGTTCGTTATTCCTTGGCCCATTCACAAAGCGCCGCG